ACATCTGAGTCTCCCGCGATAACGACGCTCGTGATGTGAAAGGCCGTCTCCCCGGGGCCATTCCCCCTTTGTGAAGTGATTCAGCCCCCGATCCCGTCCTTGGAAGGTCATTCTGACTCGTAAAAAAAGAAAGGAACAAAAAAAGAATGAAAAAAAGAAGCAAAGAGGCACTAGGCCCAATATATCCTGCGATCCCCGCCCAGAAGTCCGGCGCCAGTCGGACCTTGACCCGCATTCCATGAATAAGCTTTCCCTAATTGGAGTCTGTACTAACAAATTGACCTTTGAGATGAAGAAAAATCCTTTCTCCGCCGTTCTGCACCCGCGTTACCCAACGGTAACCACCAGGGTAATCCCTCCCCGGTGCATTTATAGGCATTACTCACGGGTTTTGCAACGTCGTTGGCTCGCGTCCATTCTCGTATATGGCGCGGCTCCATCCGTTTCTTTTTTCTGGATCGGATTTGTCACGCGGACATGGTAAAGGGTAACGTTCCGGTGACGAAATTTCAGATGACTGATGAAACGAGTTCGCGCTGACGTCATGCGGAAGGAACGCTGGTAAAAGCAAATTATGCATCTGGATCGGCGAGAAAGCGACGTTGAAGGGAATCATGCTCATGCTTATGATCATGCTTATGATCATGTTCATGCTTTCGCTTATGCTCATGCTTGTGCTTTTTTGGGATTTATCATGTGATCGGTGGGAAACGGATAAGCAGGAAAATTTACTTTAATATGCATCAACTCATCTAAATTCCAATTTTTTGTTTGCTTTATTTCGTGTTTTGTAGAAGTATTTATTATAATTAAATAAGTATCCGTCTTTAGAGAAACTGAGATGTCTCCTCGGCGCCACAATCTCAAGTTCAGTCTCTCTTTCCGGATAGACTAGGTTTAAAGGCTTAGAGGTCAAAGGTCAAAGGCTGAAGGCTAAAGGCTAAAGAGGAAAAAACTTGGGAATCCGAATTTCCTGCTTCGTCCGGGTCCGACCCCCTCGGTCGACACCCTCGGTCGTCCTTCACCACCCAGTTGCCCGGTGTCGACATTTTCGAGGGTATTCCCCTTGATTGCTTCGTTCGACTTCTCGAAAAAATATGATTCAGCCATTCACGTTGAATTTCCTTTTAAATAAAATTATCAATCGCATTAACAATTAATAAGTGGTAATGGAATACAGAAATCATAATCGTCAGAATTAGTTAAATTCAAAACGTTGCGATTTTGTATCAAATGCAAACGAACCCGGCCAGAACTTTTTTTTTTTTTTTTTTACCCCGTTCCATCGAGGCTAATTGAAGATACAGGGTGGTCAAAAAGTTTTGCGATCGCTTCGCGAAATGACAGCGCGTCCAATCGGCATGAAATTCGCGGGGCGTCCGGTCGGGTCGTGGGGATTCGAAGCGGTTCGAGCTTTTTTTCCGCCGGGCGAGCGTTGCTGCAGCGCTTTGCTGCAGCGCTGCGAGACTTCAACCGTTCACCGTTATCGTCCAGAAATTCGAGACGGGAATTTTCGTAAGCGTCTCAGTCGGGTCGGCTGAACACGCCGCTCGAGATCGTCACTATATGCTGAAAAATGCCATTCCATGCTCCATCGACGAGTTACGGCTGTGTTTTCGCTATTCGCATCCGCGTGATTCCGTAGGCATTGCGAATTTCATGCGAATTGGATGAGCTGTTACGGACTTGTTCTTCTCGGAAGCGATTGCAAGACTTTATAACCACTCGAGTTTCCTCGGAGCACGCACACCTTGCACGTACACGCGTAGTACGTGAAACGCGGAGCATGCATTTGCGTCACGGATGGTGGCAGCACCTTCGGCGAAAGTGACGAACATTTTGGCATCCCAACTTTTGGCACGATTTCGCATTCACCGCGAGTTCGTGCGAGACTCACTGCGAGGTCGTTCAGTCACATCGTTACATTTCAGAGTCACATCGTTACATTTCAAAGTCGCATCGTTACCTTTCAGAATTACATACATCGATGTTGGATCGTCCTTCGCGAAAAAATTTGCACCACTCCCCGCCGAATTTTCGCACTTGACGCCATCCGGCTGCAGGCGCTGCCGAAATCCGTGACGCAAGTACACACCCCGCACTTCACGTTTCACACGTGTACGTGCCAACCGTGAGTGCTCAGAGGAACTGACACCAGTCGAGGCCGGCGGAACGCGGCCAGACCCTCAAAGAGACAGCGGCTCGAAGAAACCGCTGGCTGTTTCAACAAAGAAGCGATCATAGTTTTCTTCGTGTCACAAATGTCAGTTCGCACATTAAAGCGACTGTTGAAATACTTATGTAATTAATGTATTATTATTAATTAGTTATCCCACGAGGTTAGAACAATAGATACTTAATAACAATTTTGAGGAGCACTAATTAACGAATCACGACGATGAAACCCAGTCCAGCCCCCCACCCGGTCCAGCCCCCCACCCGGTCCTGCCCCCCACCCAGTCCTGCCTCCTTTCCGGGTTCCACCTCCGCTCAAAGGTCTTCTGTCACTCGGATATGAAAAGAAGCCTCGCCGCCCACGCCGCCGCTTGCGAAAGGACGGGCAAGCATCCGGAAATAAACAAATCCCCGGCATTCGCGCCGCTCCGCTGGCTGACATGATGGGGATTAACCCTTTCACGGGAAAGGGTGAAAGACGGCCCGCGACCGTAGAAATCGATGCGGTTTTGAAACGCCGAAAATCAACGGGAGCCTTTACGTTATGCGATCTCTTTCATAACGCAACGTTTCATAACGATCGCCGTTTCTCGCGGGGAGAAAGGGATTTTTTTTTCGGGTCCTCCGCAGGTCCTCCGCAGGTCCTCCGTAGGTCCTCGTACGGGTCCTCATGCAGGTCCTCGCGGGTGAGAAATGGTTCTTAATGTCTTCGCTGGGAGGGGGTGAGAAAGGGACCTCCGAGAGTCCCTCTCACGGGTGAGAAGGTGAGAAGGGGACATTTAATGTCCTCACCTTTCTTCTTGCGTCTCAATTTTTCACGTCGGAATTCCGTGAGGAATGGTCTTCGGTCTTCGGTCTTCGGCTCACTCGGGGGCGATGTGAGGCAACAGCTTCTCGTAGGTTTATGCTAACACGGGCCGGTTTATGCTAACACGCTTTTACGGGTTCGTGCATTCCTTTCCTTTCATTTTTTCCGTCAGTTTTTATTTTTCTGGGCCGTGAAATGACCGAATTACATTTACATCAAGTAAATAACTTAATGACAGGGCAGCGCAACAACCTAAAAATAATCAACGAAACACGAAAATTCGCGCATTTGCTTTCAGACAGGCGAAAACAAATGACCGCAGCGGAAAGCATTCGCCAGCGGGAAGGAAACGAATCCGGCGCGCGAGAACCGGCCCGAGGGAACCCAAAATAATTAATAATTAAATGAATTACTAAATAATAATTCACTATTCCCAAATTAACATTTTTCGCATCGACTTTCACCGAATCAACTCTCAGAATGATAAATAATAAATAAAAAGGGGGGGGAGCCGAGAATCGAGACCATTCACGGTCCATTCATCACGCTTCACCCGCGATGGACACACCCAGTTATCGTGTCGAAGCCATCCCGAACGAGATCGTCGTGAGGCGATTCCTTCGTGATCGCGGGGGCCTTCGGCGCTCCGAGGACGCAGGGAATCGCGAGAATTCTCAGGGTGATCGGAAGATGTCGCTCGCGGCGGTTGGAAGAGGATTTTTTTTCGTCCGAGAGTGGAGGGATGCCAGGATGAAGGTCCAGACCTCCCTCTTGGGATCCTATTGGGGTCCTATTGGGATCCTATTGGGGCCTTCCCCGTCGGGTGGATGGACCCGGGAGGCAGGTGGGTCGGACGGGTCAGTCTCTCCTGAAATTCTTCGAATAATGATAATAATAAAATAGGCTGGGGGAGAACGGAACGTTTTTCGTTGCGTTACGCAATTTCGTGACGGTTCGATCTGGGCGTGACGTTTCGTCATAACGTTATGATGCGATTTCTCCGCGTTCGCACCCGGATCGTCGGAGCGAGCGGAATCCCGCGGTTTTCGCCGCGAGAACTTCCTCGGGGGTTCTCTCTCGCGGCCGCAAAACTCTCGGGCGGTGACGTCATTTTTTTTTTTATCCTGCGGATTGTCAGAGACTCGAAGTGGGTTTATTAGCGGTTTTACGGGGTTGTTCGAGGGTGTCGTTTTCGTGCTGGGGGAGTCGAATCGACGTGGGGAAAGTTGTAAAAAAAAAAATTGTGGCGGTTTTGACTCGATGTGTGCGCCAAAAAGGGTCGAAAAACCAGTTATTAAGATTTTTAAAAATAAGTTGGTGTTAGTTTTTGGATTAAATTCTCGTTGTGCTGCAGCAGGAGTTTCCTTTCATTTTACTACGTTACCCACGTTACCAAACAGCCTCTTTCATTGTTGCCAAGTGGCATCACCTGGCAACAACGAGAAAGAATGGGGGTTTTGGCAGCATCCTTTCTATTATCCCCCTTCCCCCCTCCCCTCCTCTCCCCCTTCCCCTCCCCCTCCCCCTCCCCCTTCCCCTTCCCCCCGGTTCCTACCAGCAACAGGTCACTCAATGCATCCAGTGACTTATCCTAGAGACGATAAGAAAGTAGAAAGAAGTGTTTAATACTAAAAATACTTGGATACTAAAAATTATACTCGCAAAATACCATAAAACGTTTTCGCATTTTATCTAACATTATTTCCAACATTATCAAGCGGATCAGAAGCGTTTATGTTGTCTAAAAATCTGGACTTTTGGCGATTTGACTTTCCAGGGATGTCTCACGGCGAGAAGTGGAAAGCGGTTCCAAGTCTAATGAATCGCCCCATTCAAGGATGGCATGTACAGCAGCGCTCATATGGGATGTCATCAATCACGCTCGAGGCCCATTCCATATTATTAAATCAGGAGGAAGACTGATTACGAATATAATGTGAGGAGGAAAATGGAGCGAAGCGACTATATGGCCCGAGGCAGGAAAAGAAAACGACTTCGTGAGGAACTGATGAGAAACTCAAACACGCGACTTTTCTCCCCTTTTTTTTCTTACGGTGGGAGAGGAGACGGTCGTGGAGGCGTCCATGCTTTTCATCATGTCGTCCTGTTTCCGTTCCTTCAGGGTCTTCAAGAGCTTCCATTTGCTTGAGCCGGGTTTGTCGTCGTGTTTCGTGTCGCCGTCTTCGTCGATTCGTTCTTCTGGTTCCTGGGCCGGTTGCTCCTCGTCCGGTTGCTCTTGGACCTCGGGGAAGGCGGTGATCGTGACGGTAATCGGGACTTCCCGTTCGGTCGGTTCGTCGTCTTCGTCGTAGCTCGGCGGGTTTTCGTCGGGTCCGCTCGTGTCGCCGGAGCTGTAATCCCCGTCGTCTTCTTTCGGTTTCAATTCGCCCGTCGAAGAGGAACTGGGAATGGATACGCTCGGCTTCCCCTGGGAATAAAATGCCGAAGACGTCTCCTCGCCGCTCAGGACGTCTGCGGCTTTCGAGGGCAATTCCGAGAGTAATTCCGTCTCTTGGGATTCCTGTCGACTGGAATCGGACGGGGCGGAGAAAAAGGCAGATTCGGTGGAGAGAACGCTTGCCGAGGACCAATCCTGCCCCGGGGACGTTCTCAGGGACTGATCGATCCATCGATCGTGATGGTTCCTCTGGAGATCCCCCGAGTGATCGAACGTCAATGCCCGTTCTAAATGCCGCGAACTTCCATGCTCCGGGATCGATCTCACTTTCGAGAGGAGTTCCTGGAACACGAGGTTCATCTGACGCTGGGCGCGTTCGTCGGGCCGGATGTCCGATGCAACCTGCTCGTACTTGGCAGCTTCTTCCATTTCCTCCAGTTGCCGCAGTTCGTATCGGTACCATTCGTCTTCGGAATCGATGGAATCCTCGGTGCTCTGGCGACGCGACGAGACCCGGGACGACCGGTAGGAGGGGATGCTGCGACTGTCCTCGTCCTCCGAGAACGTCCTCTGGCACGGTAGTTCCAGGAGACGTCCTTTACGGCTCTCGTCGTCTTCGGACACCGTCCGCTGGGTTCGCAGAATCGGCCGGGATTCCGTCGTCGACGATTCCGATTCCAGGGCTTCGAGGTCGAAGGAGGGCGGGATTTCTGGAGGTTTCACGTCGTCGTCGTCGTCGTCGAAGACCCCGTCTTCGGTCCACGACGACGCTGCGGATCGTTGGCGTTGACGATAGCGGCCGACCGCTCGAGAGACGGCAAATTCTTGGGTGTTTTGTCCGCTTTCGGCCGGCTGTGGCTCGACGGGCTTCTTTTCGTCCTCGGTGACGCTGTCGATCGAAGCCTTCCGAATGTCCCCGATGGTCGGAAACAGGTGTTCCAACTTGGATTCGCCCGCGGCGCCCTCCGGCTTCGAACTCACGGTTGGGAACAGGTTCTCGATGTTATCGGGATGCAGGACGTCGTTCCCGTCGTGGGTCGAGATCCTCGGAACGGCCGACGATGGTTGCGGACGGATCCTGCGATGCCGCCGGTCGGGGGAATCATCCGGGTCCGAGGAAGTGGAATGGCGGCGTCTCACCCGCTGGACCATTCCCTTCATGGACGACACGAGTCGTTTCCCTCGGATTCGCCGGCCGGCCGGGATTTCCCCGAGCTTCTTCACCACGGAGGGGAGGCTGAAGGATCGGCTCTTCCGGAAGTGCCAAGCCGGAAGCATTTGCCTCACGTTGATGCTCCGAAAGAATGGCTGCGCTCGTCCGGTCGATTCCGCGTCCTCGGATCTCCCCTTCTTCTCGTGTTTGGCAACGTCGGGAATGCTGAAGGACAAAGAGGAGCTGGAATCCATGCCTTGTAGCTCGTCTTCGTTCGGCGGTTCCTCGTCTTTCTTCCAGCCGGCTTCTTCCGTGGGGGACAGATCCGGTTTCCTGGGAACGGCTTGAACAGGGTAGTAATACATGCTGGTTCCGCTTTGGAACTGGAGGGATTTTTTTCCTCTCGACGAGGGGCTCGTGTATGTCTCCTTTGGGGGCCAGGTTCGATAATGCGAGGAAGTGCTTGCGTTCGTCGGTTCGGTCATGCGAGGGGCTCCATTGTGGGAGCTCGCCAGTTCCGACTGATAATTCAGGTTCAGCGAAGAGTAATACTCGGCGAGGTTTGTGGGCTGAGGGGGGTACCGTTTCATGTGCTCCTCGTATGAAGGCGGTCCTTCTCGATATGTCATGACCGAAGGCCCTTTGCTCACGCTGTACGTCGTATACGTGCTATTATATCCCGACACGGTATATGCCGGAGTCGTCGCGCAGAAAATCGACATCTGGGGTACGAGCTGGGAATGGCTCGTGTTGGCGATCACGTTCACCGTGTCGATGTAACTACTTTGAGGCGAGACTTTCGGCGCCGCTAACACGGGGGAATTACTGTCCTTGTCGGCTAATGCATCTAATTCCAACTCGCGGATCTTCCGGTCGAACTCCTCTTCCGTCTCGTAATCCTTGGCGAGTTTCGGTGAAGCTCGGCAAGGAGACTTGTCGAATCCGCCCAGGGATCCCAGGCCGCTGTCCTCCGACGGATTCCCCGACGAGGAATTCCGTCGGATCGGGGACGTGGAAAGGTAATTCATCTTGATGGGAGCCCGCGGGGAACGCGGCGACAGGGGCCTCAACGGCTTCTCCGCCTCGAGGTCCGCGTCCAGGAAAAGATAGGACGTTGGGCTCTGGGATTTGGACGTCGGGCATAACAGTCCGTCCTGAGGCTGAGAGGACGCCTCGGGGACGGAAAGGGAGTCCAGGGTCCTCGAGACTTCGGAGACCATGCTCTGGAGATCCGCAATCAAGTTCTTCTCGGTTTCTTCCAGGTTCTCTTCCTTTTCGGGACGAGACAGGTCCTGCAAGGAGGTACGAGTCGGGCTCCCGATGTATCCGTCCTTCCGGGTCCGTTTATTCGCGTGGACCACCCCGACCACACCGCTCCGAGCCGAGAAGACATCCGGCTTGGGGGATGAGAGAACCCGGCAGGGAGCAGAAGTGACGTCTGGAGTCAAAGATCGATAACTGGGGGAAACGGCTCGTCCTCGCCCTCGACGAACCGGAGACCCCGTGACCGACGGAGGAAGACTTGCCGACGTCGCTCCGGGGAACGATGATAGGGGATCTCTCCCCTCGAACACAGAAGCCTCGGAATTCCACACCACTCTCGGGCTCAGGGTCCAATCTTCCAACTCCGACTCGGAGTAAAAAGGTTTGGGTCGATGTCGAGGGGAGCCCCATTTGGGCGACGTGGATATGGGAGACGGACCCCAGACCCGATGGCGGAGTTCCTTCAAGTGCTGGGAATCGCGTTGGAGCTTAAAACCAAGCCGATCTAGTTCGTGTAATTTGTCCAGCATTCCCTTATCGATGGAGAAGGAAGAGATTTCTTCTATTTCCTGATCGCTCACACAAGGCGAATCTCCTCGGTAAGATTTATAGTCTTTATAGTCCAGAGAAGAGAAGACCATGGAATCGGTATTATCCCCACCCCCACCATCCACAAAACCACCACGACTCTCGCCACCCGTCGCACCATCGGTGGAAGAAGGGGGAGGAGGGTGCGAGGGTGGAGGCGGACCAGAGTCCGATGAAGGAGGAGGGGGTGGAGGCGGCGGAGGAGGAGGGGGAGGCGGAGGCTCCTCGGAGGACGAATAAAACTCCATCAGTTGAGCGATGACGGCTTGTTGCTCGAAGAGGAGGATCTCGATCTTCTCCAGCCTTTCCCACATTGTCATATACTCTTGAGACAAGAGGTCCAGGGCTCTCCAAGCGTAACGCAATTCCGTCTCTAGGATTCCCAATCTGTTCCCGAGCTTTTCCATATAGTCGCTCAGTAGGGACTCCACCACTCCGCTCCCTGGGCCCTGCTGGAATCCTCCTCCTCCTCCATCTGAATCCATTTTTCTTCGCTTCTAAATATTCCTGCTTATCTGTTGCATCGAGAGGAACTCGATGGACGTTCCTCGAATCTGAAAGTCCACGTTGAGATTAGAAAGAAAAGGCTGCCGGGACTAAGATGGAATCGATGACACGACACGGACCGACTAATCCATCACTAGAGGAATGGTCTCGTGGGATTCCCCAGTGAATTGGACTTCTCAATCTCGATCCGTCCCCTCACTCTTCAGGGTAGGGGGGAGAAATTCTACTGCCTACTTCTCAAGCAGGACGCAAGAACTAATTTCTCATCAGGTTGATGGGAATGTCGGCGCGAGCCCGTGCCTTTGTTAACGATGGAGCCATCTGACGGTATCACTCTGGGTATTTATCGACGTAGGATACAGCTTCACCCAGTGGCGGAGACCAACCCCATTACATGAAAGAGTAGGAGGGAGACTGAATAATTTGGGAGATGACTGTATTTCGAGCCCCTGGATTATAGATTGAGGAGAGCGGAGTGAGATCGATAGGGGGAGATCACGCGAATCTTCCTGCATCTCTATCTTCCCCTTTTTCTTTTTTTTATTATTTCGTTTTCCAGGCACGAAGTAAAAGACAGCATTCTTAGCCTTGGACAGGTCTCTGCCAGCCTCTGCATGGAATGCTGAGGAAATTCTCCCACTTACTTTTATTTCTCTTTTTTGACCTCATGATTTCATTAACTAATGAGGTAATCCTCATGCTACCAAGCTGATTAGATTGTGTGCTGCAGTGTGCTGTGTTTCAAGGTCACTCTAATCTCTCTCACTGCCGAACTTTCTGAGGCAATGGACACAGACGTAATGAGCGAGATCCTCGGGGACAGTCCAGAGGTAAATATAATGAGGTTCCCATCCCTTCAAAGAAAAAGAGAGCATCCGTCCCCCTTCTCCCTTTCTCCTCAGCGATGATAAATGAGAAACCCATCCGAGGGAAATCCTCGTCTCACCGCCTCTTTATAGGCCTATTGCATGCCCGTAAATGTCTCTGTCAGGGGGGATACCCCATTTAGTCAATATCATAAGAACACTAATTTTCCACTCGTTCCCCCCCCCCCCTCCATGCAACATTCGGCAACAATCCCATTTCGAGTCTCTCCAGACGGAGTATGCAGTTAACTGTTGCCAACCGAGCTGTAGCAGATCATCTCCCCTCGAGCCGCAGTCGGCTGGCTATAATAAGCCCCCGATGACGTAGATTCTTTCCCTCGTGATGCCACGGCACACAATGGAATCAATCTCGGAGAATGACAATGCCCCCAAGAGTCACCGAGATCATGAGGTCCGTCCACTGATAAAATCGGAGTTATATGAGGAAAGGAAGTGAAAGAAAAGAGTTTCTACCCTCAGAACCCCACAGATGCACGCTCCCGAGGACTTCCGCTTCCCACTTCGACTTCATTATCGTCAAGAAAAGAAAGTCATCGAAGAGCTGTCGAGAACCGTGAAATGTTACCGACGCTTTCAGCACGAATCCCTCCCACCTCGATCGAAACAGGTGCCCTCTCCACTTATGAGACTCCGCGATTTATGGGTCTCTCTCGTATCATCCTCACCGTATGAATCATTCCCTCTCGGAGAGCTAGAGAAAGAAATGAAAAACGAGCGAGAGTAAAGAGACTCGAGGCCGCACTGCTTGATAGAAGCCAGAGTGTGGGACAGTGTGAAAGAGAGCAGACGGGTATCTGTTGGCAGCAAAAAGAGAAAAGTCGTATTTCTCACTTCTCTCTTTGAGAGTCGAGTACGTGATGGGACTCGGCTGCCTCATTCGCAGTAATGGGTTACAGAGAAGGGCCTGTTTCATCCCCACATTACACGAAGAGCCAGACATTTTCTTCCGAGTTTTCGACCTACTTCTCGGCCCGACCTCCATAATGCATGGCCGAGGGAAGGCATCGATCTGATCGAAGCTCCCGGGCATGTTCTGAGACAATGACCGACCCTGCTCCGCCTTTTCAAAATAACTCGATCAATGGGAGCGGGAGGAAGAGGCTTTTGTGCGCGTCTATCAATTTAGACGTTATCCTCTTTCACGGCAGGCCTGTTTCCCGAAAACCCAAGCCATTGATACACATCCCTTGGCACTATCACTCGCAGATAATGAGAACTGAAACTGGGGAGAGGGGAAAATTTATCCCTCGGAACTCTTACGCTTCATTCCAGGAAAATCTTCGCAAGATGATGAGACTCCTCAAGTACCGCAGGAATGTAGGCTGCACGTCAGAGACAGATAATCTGAAAGCCCCTTTTCTCGAAGAATAATGGCCTGTCAAAAGATGGGGCCGGATCGAGAGTGTTTAGTATACCCACACAACCTGCACTACTTCTACCGACTTTCGATTCGAGAATTACTCTCAAGAAAGAGGGAAAGAAAAGTATTTTCGGAGGGAAAAAAATTTATCTAGATGACAAATGAATGAAGATAGAACAGGAAGTTTCCGACTCATTGGACCCCGTCTCGTCGTTGTGACTAATGGCAAGTCTCCCTACCCTCCATATCCCCTTGACTCTATTAAATTCGCTCCATAAATCGCTTTTCAAAGGATAAAGTATCCAAAAGGACCTCATAAAGTGTGGCGCGAGCGATTTGTCCGGATTTGCAGGGGCACTTCCATGACGCTTCGACAGCTGGAGATAAGAACGCGAAGATAATGGATGGATCCTCCACTGAGAGGACAATATTGAAAGAAGATGAATCATCTATTGCATATTATACAGTATGCAGCATGGATTTCCTGCTTCCCTCGATTTTTCACTCAGACGTCGCGGATATCCATGAGCTCTAATGATCCTTCTCGATAGTTTCCTCTTTCGTTCTTTGCATCGTTAAGGTTCTTGTCTTCACTTCAACACCCCGCACTCTACTTACTATCCGCCCCCTCTCATCGGCTAAAACAAGCCGAGACGAAGAACGGCTCTGGTGCCATGATTTAATGCGGTTTTGGATGAGGAGTCGCGGAGAATTCGCTCGGAAAAATTTTCGCATCGCGTCGAGGTGATAATGAATAAATGAAAGTAGAAAACTGCCGATATTGGGTACTGAGCAGAAATACGCATTAAAACAAAACTGGAATAGAAGGCGAACCGGTATGTCTCATGAACGAGAAAAATAATGACCGAGTCAAACAAAAAGACAGGAGGATCGTCTTATCATGATTCATGCTTCTTTCGAGGGCCGAAATAATCTCAAGTCGACCTCGTTTCAGAAAGTCCATATCCCGACGGGCACATGAGAAGGGCATCCCTCTTATCTTTCTACGATACTGCACTCATCTGCAAGGATTATAAATGGCATCCCCGACCCCATTCCACGGATCCTACGTGATGGTACTCTTCATGTACATTCATCCGCAACGAGATCCTCATGCACCCCCACTCGCACATCCGTTGCGGAGGAGAACACATCTCGAGGATTAAATTGAATTGCCCTTTGCGACGCCATGACGTATCCGGAAAAGTTCCTCTCCCTCTCGTGGGGAGAGGCAGCAGGTAGGAGAAATCGATGATTCACACGCATCATGTCCGCCTACGAAGGCTCTGCATCGACATTCCCATCAGAACTGGATTATCTTTAAAGCAAGAATTCTTGCACGTGACTTAAGAACGGCTAATCCGACTGGTGTGATCCATTCAGGTGAGATAATCGTCCCGACAGCCCTTTTTTTCTCTCCTTTCTCGTACCCCGGGAACACTACAGGAATCACAGACGGGGGAAAGGAACACACACACACGTCACTAAACGACCTAGCGGATCGGGACACCACAAGGCGGAAAAGTGGAAGCAACTAGTTCGGTTCATAAGGAGCTGTGGAGAAGGGGGAAGGGAAAGGGAAAAGGGGAAGAAGGAGGACTGAAGAGGGAAGGGAGTTTTGGCCGCGGTCGATGCCGACTCCAACACGGCGCATGTCTCCTTCGTCTCTCCTGTACTTCTCACACACACATATAGAGACTGTATTTTCCCATCTCTTCTTTCCCCGTTCCTTCCTTATTTAGAGGCACCCTGCAGGGGGAAAGAGTCTCCATCTGAGGTGATTCAAAATTCAATACTTATAGAGCGCCACAAACGACAAAAAAATGTCAGGCCTCTTATGAAACCGACTCCACGGAAGCCCAGCGAGTGAGGCATCTCTTCCTCGAAGCGACTTAAGGCGCCCGGATCCCCCGCGACCCCAAAATCGAGGCCACGTCCCGGCCCGAACGATTCGAGCCGGGAACGGAAGAGAAGAAGCGCCTGAACGATAAACAGTCCCGCCGGGAGAGACGGCCCCGAGAACGAGCATTCTCGCAGGCTGCCAATATCGCTCCCCCATCACTCCCTCGCCTCGCCCCCAATTCAACGGGCAATGCAAAGAGAGAATTGCCCTAATTTTGGCGCCGTGCAAACATTACATGCGAGAAGCGAATACACGAAATAATCCGCCAGAAGCAGCCATATTGGAAAAGCGCTTGGGTGAGAAAATATTGCTCAAAATATCACCATCAAACTTATTGCCATCGATGTCCTAAATGATAATAAATTCAGTCATAAATTTCCCCTAATCATTTATTTATCTCACCGATTCGACCTACATTCCAACCCATATCAAACAGAATTTAATCTCCCTGACATAGCAACCGCATTTGTATGCGATCTGGTGATCATGGAAATATATACTCAGTATACTCGCTCTGTTGATTAAAGACTCAATAGGGGCAAAGAAAAGAAGAGGAGAGCCATCATTTCCCAGAGGGTGTAGTCCCTTTTGTTTCTCTAAGAGGAGTAACTAATCTTTAGCCCTGTTGGTCCTTCTAATGATCCCGGGAGAGAGGGAGACGGGAAAGGATTTTTCCTGATGGATTGCCACCCGCCTCATTTCCGGTTCCCGTCCGACCGAATATCCACAATCTTTCCACAGATGCCCTTGAATCCGCCGACACGGCTCATTTCTCATTCACGGGGGACCGGAGAAGGGGATCTCGCTGAACTCAACGCAGAAGGAGCT